TGGGTGTCATCTGAGAGCCGGGGGTGTGCCCACTGAGGGCCGCGGCCCCTGCAGCAGAGTCTGGATGGCCAGGAGTGTTCAAATACTGGTCAAACTCATTGCGATCCATGTCCCCCAGGAGTTCCACCTGGCTCAGCTGATCCAACGCGTCAAAGCCGGGGTGCTCCGGAGGTGGGGAGAGCTGGCCCAGGTGGGCGTGCAGGTTGGAGTGGAGAGAGTGGTAGGTGGCGGGGGAGTAATAGGCAGGGGACGGGGGACAGCCCGGGACAGTGGACATCATAGAGACGCCCGGGGACTGGCCGAGGGCCAGGGAGCCCAGGGGGTGGCGGCAGTGCAGAGGGCTGGGGGCGTACTCCGGGGAGTAAGGGGGCCGGGGCAGGTGCGGGATGCGGTGGGAGTGCGCATGCTCCTCCTGGCAGGGGGAGGAGAAGAAGGTCTGCTCCGGCTCCAGCACGTCCAAGGGTGACATTTCCGGGGGCGTGGGCAGCCCGTAGGGGTACGTGTCCGTGCTGCCCGGGGCGCCGCCGCCCGCCGGCCCCTCGTGGTAGCAGCCCCTGAGGCTGGGCAGGGCGGCGCCCGGGGAGTACTCACCCCTGTCCTCTTTGTCCCCCAGCGCCCCCCGGCTGCCGCCCCGCTTCTCGGGCAGGGCGTTCTGGTCCCGGGACAGGTTGCTCAGGAGGAAGCCGGGGTCCACGCGCTTGCAGAGGCGCTTGGCCTGCTTCTTCCTGCGCGGCCGGTACTTGTAGTTGGGGTAGTCCTGCATGTGCTGCAGGCGCAGCCGCTCCGCCTCGTCCACGTAGGGCCTCTTCTGCGACAGGGTCAGCGCCTTCCACGACTTTCCTGCTCACGCAAGTCAGAAAAGGCTCCTGTCAGTATCTGCGGCCAGTGCACCGGTCTCAGACTGGTGCCTCCAAGCACGAGGCACACAGCGTCCCCCATCCCATCCGCGGGTCCCCCTTTCCACAGAGGGCACCCTCTTCCCGGCCCAGGTCCTGCGCACACAGTGGCGCCAAACCAACCTCCCCCGCCTGCGCGGGGCACCACCACTTCATGCCAACGACACACACATTCACATCACCTCCCAAATAAAAGCCATCCGACAACACAAACATGGAAAGAATGTGGGACTCACAGCAAAAGGCCAGTGTCAGCCACAGGATAACAATATAAAGGGACTACAACACTGACTTGGGTTCTCTTAACCCTTGGAGAGCCGATTCTAAGTATTTGTGCATTTCAGTGAAGATTCTCTGTCTTCCTTGATTATTGCTGTTTCTCAGGGAGTGATCGTGTGATATTTACTTATGGCATAAACCCCACAGGCCTCCCCATGAGGGGGCCCAGGTAGAGTTAACAGTTTCACAGAAATAATTAAACGATAGGGTCTCACTTAAGGTAACATGATTATCCCTTACATCTGAAGGTCAAATAGGACCCTGTTGTCTGACGACCCAACCGTGGCCAGAATGCAAGCATCTGCCTGCAACATGCACATATGCATGCAGACACATGTACACACACACACACACATACACACGTGCCCACTCATCCCTTGACCCTGGCAGGCGGCACCTGCACCGCCACTGACTCTCCATACAGAAGCAATCTTCCCCGGGTCTCCGTTTTGCTCACTAGAAAATATATCGTGATACTACCCAACTCAAAACTCCCTCTTTTAAAAGCATCACACACGGGCCCCACTGGGACTAAAATGCTGGTTGCGCTTGTGCTTCCTATTCGTCCTCCCTCACTTGTGTGTTGTTTTGTAAAAGGCTTTATTCAGTCTTTCTACATGCATGGCACATCCCTCCAGCTGCAGGCTTTCTGAAGGTCACTGCTGGTCCCCGAGGCTGCTACCTCCTAGGTGAACTCAGGCTCCACAACCTTGACAAGTCCCCCCAGGACTCTGCCGTTTGCCGAAGTCTCCGTCACTAGCCTGGAGGCCAGGCCCTGCTCAGCCCTGGAAGGAAAGGGGCACATCTCCCACCGGAGCCCTCTGCACAGGGAGGGGGAGAGCTGTGTGTATGGCCACCCTCCGTCTGCCAGTGCCTGTGCCCATGTTGGCTGGCTCTGCACACCAGGCCCTCAAAGGGGATGAGAGGGGGAGGATTATCAAAGGTGTTCTGCCACTGGGATGAAAGCCTATAACTGTTCTGACCATCACTGAGCAATATCTTTGGCTGTTGCTTAGAAGGGCAACTTGAAAAGTGTTAGGAACTCTGGATTTGGAGCTGGTCTGCAGTTCCCAGCCTGGGGCCGAGGCCACAAAGTTGTTGCAAGAGGCCCAAGATCTAGACTCACATTCTCTCTCTCTCTCTCTCTCTCTCTCTCTCTCTCTCTCTCACACACACACACACACACACACACACACCCGGTCTGTGGACTGAGTATATATAGTGTGACTCCAGTTTCTAAGTGCACCTGGATGTTGCAGTATTAATAAAATATAGGTTAATTGTAAATGTCACTAAATGTGCAGCTGCCTTTATGCACCTCTTCGTTCATAATATACTCAAAATACTAGTGTTTCTGGTGAAGTTTTTAATGTTACAGATTAGAAAGCTTGTGAGGAAAAACTGCTGGGACTCTCACATCCAGTCCCTTCCTTTCCTAGGTCAGAAAGGAAAGGGCTGGGTGAGATACCGGGGGTGGGGGGTGAAAATTGATCGTGCTATGGACAGATTATGGACAGCCAGGGGCTGTGTGGTTAAGTAGGAAGGAATCTGTGTCTTTCCTGCAAAATGGACTGTAACCTCTGAAAGCCTAAGTGCGAGTAGAGAGTGGGGATTAGCTTACGGGAGGCATTTGTCACCCAAGTCCCTTTGCCGGCCCTTTCCCTGGGAGCAGGCAGTCTCAATCCTATAAGGCTCCCCAAACCAGGTTCTTATCCTATCTCTGGCCCTGGGTCTGCAACAGAAACCGCACTCTATCCCTGTCACAAGAGCATCTAGGAACAGCGTCTAGGGCTTACCAAAAAAAATCTTTAGAGGCCCACACCCGAAGAAAAAAAAAGTGTTTTCATCTCTTTAGCAATCTGAGGGACAATATGAACTTTCAAACTGAAGAAAATGTTTTGTTGTGTATATTAATACATTTGTCTTTATGCCAACCATGTAAAAATACAATTTTAAATATTTTTTTAAGGCAAAGAGGCTCACTAAGACATGGCTCCCTAACGAGTCCTGGGCAAGCTAACCAGGAGGCTGGGCGGTAGAAGGCTCTTTGTAACCACCACTCTACCAGCCGCTTTGAGAGGGCACCTAGATTGCCCAAGGGACCTTCTCTGGGTGGGCCTGTGGCTTTAACCAGCAGAAAAGTGGGTGTCAGTCCTCAGTCCATGGTTCCAACCCGGAAGAAGCCCAAAACTCCAACGGAAAAAGGAAACTGGCTTCTTTGGTTCTGGGTCTGGTAGGGTTGGGAGAGCAGGGCCAGCCTCCCACAACCACACACTGTCCCTGCTCACGGGGCCTGGGGTCTGCTCTGCTCAGGAAAGGCTCCCACCAGTTCAAATGGATAAAAACCACAGCGAAAGGGCTGAGGGGTTAGGAGTAGGGCGGAGCTGAAAATTGCTCAGCTCCAGACAGGGGAGAGACTAGAAAGCCTGGCAGGAACTCTGTTTTTTCCGACCTGCCCTAACATCCTCTCTCTGGGCTCATCCCTGTCCGGGTCCCACCACCCCTGCTGGGACTGCACAGCATCAACCCCAATCCGGAGGAAGCGGCCAGGCCAGGCTGCGGGACACACAGACCCTCACCGGCGCCCGGAGTATCCGGATCAAATGAACTAAACCGCTGCGGCCGAGACAGGGAGTCTCCAATGGAGTCTGTTTGCATAGACGTTTCCCTGTTGCTTTCATGATAAAGTTCAAGCAGGAAAGCGTTCCGCAAGGTCTCTCTTCACGAATATTCGTTAAGAATAGTTAGCACCTCCCTCTTTGATGGTGCCAGTGGTCAAGTTCAGGGAAAGATGCATTTCCCACTCGTATCCCTAGCGAAGGCCAGTTCCAACCCATCTCAGCGTTCCCGTCCATCCCGGCCGCTCCGCGCGTGCGGGTCTCTGCAGCGCGGCGACCGGACCGGGACACAGCCCCGCCCCGCCCGTGCCCTGGGGCCCCCAACCCCGCTCCTGTCCTCCCGGGCCATCCCAGGGCCAAGCTGTTTCACTCTGGGCCTTGCCAAGGCGCCCCTGCTCTGACTGCCAGTCGCCGCGCTCGCGCCCACGCCCGCACAGATGCCCAGCCTCGGCGGCACCGCGACGCCCGCGCTCCCCGCGTCCCCGCTCTCCAGGTCCGGCTGCACTCTGTGCGCTCGGCCCCCATCTTCCCCCCTGGTGGCCTCTGCCGGCGCCCCCGGCCCGCGACCTGGGGCTCACCGGCCCGCCCGCTCACTCACCCAGCATCTTGCTGAGCTCGGCGTTGTGCAGGTCCGGGTTCTGCACCGCCAGACGTTTCCTCTCGTCCTTGGCCCACACCATGAAGGCGTTCATGGGCCGCCGGATGCGGCTCTCCGAGCCCTTGTCCCCTGGCGGGCGGGGGGCGGCCGGCGGCGACAGCCCATCCGACAGCTCGGCTTCCAGGGCCGGGCACTCCAGCCCCTCGGGCCACGGGTAAGTTCCCAAAAGCGAGGCCATGGCCGCACGGGGGTCGTCTCGTTTCGCCTCGCGGGGCCGGCGTTGACCTGGCCCTCGCACGGGTCGGGGCGTCCAACTTGGCCCGCAGCCGCGGCCCGGCCCCTTATTTATCAGCTTCGGGCGGCCCCGTCCTCCAATGACTCTCGGAGGCGGCCCGGCCCCTCCCTCCGTCTCGGCGCGGCCCCCTCCCTGTGTCCCCGACCTCCCAGTCCCCGCTCCGACTTGCCGACTTGCCCGGAGCCGGAGAGGAAAGGAGGGCCGCCTCCCCGCGCCCGCCCCCAGTCCGCCCCTCCGCCTCTCGGGTCCCTCCCGGGGATACGCGCCCCGCCGCCCCCCACCCCCACCCCCGGGGCCGCCTCCCGTCCCGCCGGCTCCCGGCGCAGGTGCCGCAGAGCAGGGAGGCGGGTAACGCCCGCGGTCACGTCGCCCGAGAGTAGGAGCCGGACCCAGTCCTCTGGCCGCGGCCTCCACGGGCCAGACTCCACCAACTCCTCCCGGGCATGGGATCCAGCGGAGAACCGACGCCAACAGGTTTCCCTGGGAATGCCGGGCGCGAGAGGCATTGACCATGAACCCCCAGAGCCCCCCGGGAGTCGCTCTTAAGAGAACACACGCCTTGTACAATGACCCGGGCCCCCAGCCAACTTTGGTGGCCACCAGAGGCTCACAAGGGCTGGGGTTGGATTCCGCATCGGGCTCTAGGCAGTACCCACGCGGGGGCCCCCCTCGACGTCCCCGCGGCGCCCAGGGCTGCGCGCTCAGTTCTTATCCCCTTTGCCATCTGATTTCTCTCTTCTTACCCCCCTCTCGCCACCCCACTCCAGCTCCCCCGCCTCTAGCTCTTCTCTCAAAGAAGCCCCTTCTTGTAGCTTCTCTTTTCTCCTCCCACCAGCTCTGGAGCTCCCGAGTTCCCCTCGTCCTGGCACCCACCTCCCATGGGGCGACCACTACGCTCGCTGGATGACATCTCCGTGTCACCCTGCTTCGCGTGAGTAGGACTGTTCCCCTGGCTCTTAACTTCAGCGCTGGCGCACAGTAGGCGCACAGGCACCGCCGAATAAGTGAATGAAGAAATGAGGAAATAGGGCTTAGACACACGCTACTGTCTGAAACACCGCAATCACGAGGCTTGACTAGATCCTGGAATTCTATCCACAAGTACTGCTGTGCCCACTCCTGTACGGTGCTCCGCAGAAGCGACCCAGAAGGGAGGTAGCATTGTCACGGGAGGACTGAGGGTCTGGAGTCCGGGCCTGCCTTCGGTGTCTGTGTTACCTAATTCGTGACTCGGGGCAAGTCGGGCATCTCTCTAAACCCCCTTTCCTAATCCTAAAAGAAGGACGATGATAATAAGACTGATCTCACAGGGCTGTTGTGAAGCTTCAATGAGATAATGTATGCGAAGTTCAAACTCTACACTTGATGGCAGATGTTAAGAGAAAAGAACTCTGGATGGAGAGCCTGTGGCTCTAAGTCGGGGTTGAAACGCCCCAGCGCGCAGGGACTGGGATCATAGGCGCCTTGTGCGCAACATGCACTCCCGAACCCGCCCCGCGGCCAAAATCCGGCAAATGGATGGAGAGACGCAACTTGTCGGTTTTTAAGTCCCAATTTTAATCTCTAAAGTCCCTTTTAATTTTCATCCGAGAACGGGCTCTCCGCATAAAATAAAACGCTAATTTTCCTCTCCCTTCCAGCCAGGATCCAGAAGCAGTACTGTAGGCCTCCGCCTGCTGCTCTTCTGGGTCGGGGCTGACCAGCCCCGGGCGCCGGGCACGGCGCAGAGCGAGCTGGAAAGTGGGTGCTTTGCTGCCAGAGAGCATCCTGGAACCCGAGGTGGAGCGGTGGGGCTGGCTGGCGCCGGGGCCGAGCAGGGTGGGGTGGGGCAGGTTTGCGGAGAGAATGTGTCCGCGGTCTAGGCGGGCTTCCCTACCCCGGGAGGCCTAGGCCATTTCCCGTGTTGGACCCCTCTGCCAGAAATTCCTTTAGAAAAATCCCAGGCCGGAATGCTCTGGGAACGGCGGGGAGCTAGGGCCGCGCCCGTCCGGGGAAGGGCAGCTCTTTAGGGAACGGGAAGGGTAAGGGGTGGAGAGGGATCCCGGCAGGGGCACTCGCGCTGCAACAGGGGACCCCAGGAAGAATTTGGCTCCGACTTTTTCTAACCCCACCGCCCTCCAGGGCGGAGACAGTGCTCCACCACAGGGTCAGAGGCCCCTAGGGGACAGCGCCCCCTTGCCGCCGCGGGCATCCCGCTCCGGCGCCAGCCTCTGGCGCCCTCCCAGCGCGGCTCCTGAGCAGAACGCGCACGCAGTGGGGCCGCGCCCGGCACCAGGTTAGGAAGATACGCAGACCCCGGGCAGAGCAGCGCAGGCAAGTTGGATTCCATACATAGACCAAAGGCAACAACGGAGAAAACAGCTGGGGCGGGGGCAGAGACAATCCGTGTCGTGATTGTTGTTTCAAGTCGTTTAATTTCTTGCATTTCCTCCGGAGAAAGCGCTTGAACCTGGGTTTTCCAGGACCCGGCGTTAGCAGCGCCTTTGCTGGTACCGGCGCGTCCTGGCTAGTGTGAGCTGTCTGCGTGCCAGAACCCGGGCTCTGTCACTCGTTCCAATCCTTCTTTTCTGCATTAATTTGCACCCGTGCGTTGATGTACTTGGGCAACTTTATGCGAGCGTGCCCGGGTGCGGGCGGCGCTAAGGGAGGGATTCGAGGTCAAATGTGACTCTGACGCCTCTGGTCACTGCAACCTTCAGACCGTCAGTCCTCCGGAGCTCTGGCTGGCGCTTTCTAAGGCATCCCCGACGCCTGCTCTGGCCAGCGCTGGGCCCAGGACCGGCGCGGCCCGTTAGTTGTTGGTCCAAAGGCTCATCTGTCCAGGCTCGGCGGCGTGGTGAACCCGCAGGCAACCGAACCAAGAAGGGCTGCGGTGCAGGGTCCTCCGGGTGCTTGGACCCGCAGCAGGATGGGATGGGGGTCCCCGCAGGCAGGGAGAGCAGTCAGGGTGACGGGTCTGCGCGTGACGATTAGGGGCACAGTGAACACCCCGCGTGCAACGGACCTGTCTGGCACCCAGACCTGAGCCTTACTGGTCCGGTGTGAATTGCTTAAACTACGCTGTCTGCTCCTCTTAAATGAGTTTTTCTTCCCCTCTTCCTTGCTTTCTTGCTTCCCTCCTTCCTTTCTTCTCTCCTCACCCAACCCCCTATCCCTCTCTTTCCTCTCTTTTCTCTTCCTCCTTCTTTCTCTTTTTCTCCCATCCCTCCCACCTTTTTCTTTGGCTCTTTCTTTCTTTCTTTCTTTCTTTCTTTCTTTCTTTCTTTCTTTCTTTCTTTCTTCTTTCTTTCTTTCTCTCTCTTCTCTTCTTTCTCTCTCTCTCTCTCTCTCTCTCTCTCTCTCTCTCTCTCTCTCTCTCTCTCTCTCTCTCTCTCTCTCTCTCTCTCTCTCCTTTTTTCTCTCATTTCTTTCTTTCCAAATATCGGTTTCCAGGAATACAGGACCTGAAGTCCGAAACCCCGGGTGCAAGTTGCATTTACCAGATCTCAGCCTCAGTTTGTTCACTTGTCAATGGGGGTAATGAGTATTTGTGAAAGCAGCTCGTATATTTAAAGAACTGTGAAATGGTGTAAAATAATGAATGGTTGAAATTTTAAATAAAATTGACAGCCAGGCCTCCAAAACTTTCCCCTTGAGGAGCTTTCCTTATTCTATTCCAAACTGAAGAATTTTGGTGACGCTGGGGCACCAGAATTTGGGGCCAGAACAAGTTCTGGGCTGGCAGAGACTCAGCTGGTGGCCCTCGTCTTTGCACGGTTTTGGGTTTTGTGAATGTGTTTTGCTGGTGCTTTTTGTCCCTCACAGCAGGCTGCAGGTGAAATTATCACCACCATCTTCTTTGCTCACACTAACTTGTCCATACGTTATTGATAGTCTTTGCAAAGGTCATTCTCTGGCTCATCCAAGCCTCTACACAGCCCTCTGCAAAGTCGGCAGCCCAAGTTTTAGTGTTAAGCTGTTTTCCAGTGAAGGTGAGGCTGCAGCATGCAAGTGGCAGCGCAGAGACCTGAACATACATCTCTATCCCTCATGCCTTTGCTTCTGGGTTCTGGGGCTGCCCGGGCTCAGCTCCCAGCTCCCCACACTCACCAGAGCCCCAGGCCAGAGAGCAGGGCTTCTAACAAGCGCTGTGTCTCCCCCTGACCTTGTGCCTTGTCTAGTCCCATCTCTCCAAGTTCCATTGGACCTTCCCTCATCCAAAGGGCGCTTAAATAAGTACAAGATAATGTGAAGAGCAAATGGGCTAACCCTGTTGAGGTGCATGCTGAAGAGCCAGGAAACTGGACCCAGACTTTCCGGCCACACTATCCCCCACCCTTCAGAGCTGGCCCAATAACCAGAAACCTTTACTTCCCTCCAAGAAACTGTGTCCAGAGTTCCACTCTTTTAACCCACAGAAATCTCTTCATACATTTAGAAGAAATGCACCAAGGTCCCTAAGTTAGAATAATTTGGGGGAATTCAACCACACAGCATGGATTTACGATGTACCCATAGGCTTACCCGCATGGACTGGAAGCAGGCAGAGCACATGGACAACTGGACAGAGAGTCAAGCATCTTAGGTGTAACAGCTTTTCTGTTGGGGACTAGGGGGAAGGAATAGGATTTTCAAATGACATTGCTCCTGAGTGTGGGGAGTGTAGACCCCCTGACAGCATCCAAACCCTTTTGCAAGAGGGACTCAATGGTACCAAACACTGGGGTACAGAAACCCACATTTTCTTGGGAGTCCCCCAGATCTGATGTCCTAGTTACTGCAGAATCTCCCCTCTACACATGCCTGCTCATCTATGATTAATCACATCTCCTAATGAATGCTGGGAAGAAGCTGGACTTGGAGCAGAGACATGAGTCCGGTCCCACTGGCCACGAGTGCAGGTACACATTTGAGCAAGTCACCAGCCCAGTGCACAGGGTGGATAGCCTCGTGGGCCCGGGGAGGCGAAGGCTGGATGTGTGTGTACATTCTCACAGCAGCGCCAAGACAAGCTAATGCTCCTTCTGGGCTTTGTGTGTGCTTCTCCCTAGCACTGAGGGCCGGGAGAATTCCATGTCAAAGACAAACCTTTTCTACATGAATTTTCTCCCACTCCGGTCTGAACAATGCTCAGTTTTCCTTCTGTAAGGAGCAAGGATTACAGCACTGAAATGATATTTATTTAGTTGGTCGGAAGCTGAACTTTCAAATTGAGGTAGGAAAAAAAATAAATTACAAGAAAAACTAAAAGTTGGTTCAAGGGGAAATTTTTTTTAAAATATATTTTATTGATTTTTTTACAGAGAGGAAGGGAGAGGGATAGAGAGTTAGAAACATCGATGAGAGAGAAACATCGATCAGCTGCCTCTTGCACACCTCCTCCTGGGGATGTGCCCGCAACCAAGGTACATGCCCTTGACCAGAATCGAACCTGGGACCCTTCAGTCCTCAGGCCGACGCTCTATCCACTGAGCCAAACCGGTTAGGGCTCAAGGGGAAATTTTTTATCTCTTTATTCTATTGCCTCTTCTTTCCAAACACCTAAGAGATAGAAGGGAAACTGACTAGCAAATGCCTATCAATAATACTAAATGAAAAATAAATAAGTGTTTTCTCAGACTACCATACACATCTGATTTTCGGGTAAGTAGTGTCGGGCTAAAGGCTGATATTATGAAGCAGCACCAATGGAGATCTCATCATGGAGAACTCCATTATCAGCCAACGGTTCTACTGTGAGAAGCGGAGGATACTTATTTGTTCAATGTATAGTTGCTTTAATAGATGGATTTCAAACTACCATGATTATTTAAATTATTTTTCAATGAAGTACAGTATGCCTACAGAGAAGCAGACATGGTGAGTAGTGGCTGAGATTTCATAGTGTGAACACACCTGCAGAAGTGTGCTCAGATCACGACACAGAATGCTACCAGTCATACTATTTTAGGA